ATTTGGTAGGTTAGAGTAGACCCTCCTGCTTGATTTAAGTCTTTGTTTACTGATTCTTCTTTTATTCTTTTCTCATTGTTCCAAGGTATTAAATTCACTGTTAATTTCAAGGATCCGTTTCATGATTAAACTTCTAAATTAAAAACTACTGATATCTGTAAGCATGAGTGGGTGTTGTTTGTTTTGTTTGTTTAAGTGAAATGTGTTTACTTCAGCTCTTTGTGAAAACTTGGTAAATACTGTTTGACAGTTCCTGTGTATGGTTTTGGGGGGTCAGGAGGCATATGTCAATAAAATCCATAATGAGGTAAGCTTTGCAGATAAACCAAAAAGAGGTTGGGGGGGAGGAGGTTGGCTTTTTTGTTTGTTTTTTCTTAATCTTGATGAACCCAGCTATTTTTTCACATGGAGAACCTTAGTCCATCATTGCAAATAGCTGTGCTGGATGCAGTGCTGTACCTAGCCCTTAATCACAGCCTCCTGAGTGGAGCTTACCACTCCTACAGCTCTGCCAGTGATGAAATCGCCTGACTGCTTTAATCCCATTCACCTGGAACCGAGAGGTTTTAGCTGAGGGTTGCCTGTTACAGGGAGTAAAAACAACCTGTCTGCACTTGGCTGAAGCTGGTTAGCTGTCCCATCAGCCAGTGGAATTGGGGAGAACAATATTTGGGAGGCCCATAGTGGTGAAAGGCTAGAGGCATTTTTCTCTTCAATTGCCACTACTTGTGGGAGTGGTACCTTCTGGAGAAGGTACACCTGAAGTCTGGTAGTCAGCTGAAGGATGGGGGTGGTTTCTGTAATTTCCTATTGCTGATGAGCTGCAAACTGGAACAGAAGGATGTTGTTTTCATTGTCCAAATTCTGTAAATGAAATGCTGATTCTTACCTAGATTCCATCAAGGAATATTTCAAAGTTTTTAGCAAGTATTTGAGGGATTGTATTGTCTGGATTAGAGGCAAACCTGCAAGTTGTGTATGCACCATTAACATACAATTTAGATTGTGCCCTCTGGAATACATGAAATAGTGAGAGGAACAAGAAATTTTTACTTTATTTTTTTACTGGAAAGAGGGCACAATCTTGTACACATATTCTGTTCTTCAAGCTAAGTAGATTTGTATTATGTAAAGGTTATAGCATGAGTGGATGCTCAGGACAGCATTCGCATTTAATTCCAGTTCATTTTGCTGGTAGTTTCTAAGACTGTAATTATAAAGGTAGGTTGGTTTTGGTTTTTTATCCACTGTTAACTTTTAAAGTATTCCATGTCACTTGTCAGAAATCTATCAACAAGTTTTCTAATAAAACATTCAGTAGTGACTTCAATTGAAGTTTGAAGTATTGAGGCTAAAACATTAAATATATATGTGCCAGGGACATAGAAACAGTTTGGTGGGGTTTGTTGGTTTTGGTTTTTTGTTCTGTTTGGGTTTTTTTGGTGGTGGTTGTTGTTTTTCAACCTAGGAAATAGTGACCTGGTAATCCTTTGTTGCAAAAAGCTCTAGTAGACATTTGTAATTAAGATGTGCACGGCTCGTTGCTCTGCCACTCTGGTGTCAGTTGACAAATTAGGGTATCTTTTTGGATATAGGGTGGGAGAGCTTGTTGTCCAAATCTTAAATGTAGAATTGCATGAAAAGAAAGATCTTGTGGATTTGCTGTGGTCTCATAAATAAAGGAATAGAATATGTTTGTGAAAGTGAACCAAGTACCTTAAATACAGAAATGCTCTTATGAAATAGTGGTTTTATCTGAATTTATACAATCAGTTCTGGTGACACCAACCCAAATGTTGTAGGACTATGTAACTTTCTGAAAGGGAATGTGTTTGAACATATCTTTGGCCTGGTTTAGTTGAGAGCTAACTTTTTTTTTTCCTGGGAGTTTTTTTAATGGTTTGGAATCTCAGTAGGGTGGTGTGGTATTGGGCATTTGTTTGTTTGGTTTTGGTTGGTTGTTTTTTTAAACATCAGATGTTTTGACTCTTATTTTTAACTTCAGAGCAGTTTTCTGCTAGTTACTTCTAGCACTGATAGGAATGTTACTGTGGGGAGCCTGGCACTTGCTGTCAGATTTTTTTTTTGTGTCTCTTTTCAGAGCAGATCTAAATTATTTTCTGGAGATGTTCTGGAGGTTTCCCAAGTCCTTCACTGCTCCCCTTGGGCAGTTAGGGGATCTAGCGAACACAGACAACGGAGTGGAAAAAATGTGATGGACACAGGACAGTTAGTCATAAGGGGTTGTTATTTTCTAATAACTGTCATCTCCTACAGTTTCGTACGTTGCGCACCATTTTATGATACAACTGAGCCAGTCCAATGGCTTTTTGCCATGAAAAGCTCCCTCATCCCCTCACCCGTGGTTTCGCAAAGGAAGACGCTGAAAGACACAGCAGTCAGCTCTGGCATTTATTGATCTTTCTTCCTGAGTCAATTCAGTTGATTAACTGGTTGGATTTTTTTTTTTTTGCCTAAAGGAAAAACAGTTTTTTGCTAAATTAGTGTGCCAGTTTGGCTAATAGAGGAGCCTGGTTAGTGCAAGAGCAACAGAGTTTTGCGAGAGGGTGTGAAACCTCTTCTCCTGGCAATGAGCAGTTGGGTCATTTCAGGTGTACTGAAAGGTGATAACAGGTGATCAGAAATGAACTTAAAACCTGTTTGCTACCATCTTTTGTGTGCTTCTAAAAGAGGTAAACTATAAAACAGAAAATCTGCAGTCAGAGCAAGAATTCTGAGAAATGGTGGATTTAAACCACTGGAGAAGTTGAAGATAATGATTGGTGCTGAAGTACGTGGGGTTTGGGGGTGCGGGTTGTTTGTGTTTTTTTTTTTTTTGTTTGAAGCTCCAGGTACCACTCAGAAACTATTTACTCATGTGATGCAAAACAAGAAGTTTAGTAGAAGTTTATCCTGCTGGTTTAATTTATTTTTTTTTTTAAAAAAAGATTAGCATTAGCCTTTTACTGCAGACTCCGTTCCACAGCATGAATGAATCTGGAGCAAAAGTAAAAACCTCGTGCTCCGTAATGTGATAGAAGCATGATTGTTAGTTCTCATCCATCCCTAGTCTGAATTAGATATGTTAAATATATAGATCTAATGTTAATAACAAGTCAGGATGGGACCAGAGGAATGGGCAAATGAATGTCAATGAAGGTTTTTAAAAGGATCTGTGCTGACGTATTTAAAAATGATCTGCTCCTTGATGTACTGTGCTAGTACTTTCAGGTAATCGTGCATGAACTCTTATCTGTGAAAATAAGCTTCCAGAGTAATTTAACTCCATTAAAACAAATTTTTATACCGAGGTTATCTGAGTTTTTGCCGCCATGGCTGCACTTTCATACTAGTACTTGTCAGGTCTCTCTGTGAGCCGGACTGGTTTGTTAACTGTCAGGAGATTAACCAAAATGTGTAATTTTCTGCTTGGTTAGCAAGCTAAAGTAGCTCATTATGGGCTCAGATGAGTGGCAGTACCAAAGCAGGAAGGAAGGTGAGGCCATACATGAGTGATATAATTTCCTTGCACTGTCCTGATGCTGTACTCTTAATGCTTTTCTCTGGGAATTTGGAGAACATGGAGACAATTGTTTCTAAAATTTTAGGAGCCTCTCCCTAGTCTTTGTTTGTTTTGATTTTTTTTAAAAAATAATTGTTTTAAACACAGTGGAAGAGAAACCATAGTTATGCAAGATAAACTATTTGAATAGTTGCTGAAGGGTATGTTTTTACTGGTCTATATGCATACATATTGACTAAATAATCGTATTCTATTGGTCTTAATTTTTTGCATAGAGACTACTTGGAATACAGAGTAGGGTAATGTAAAACCTGAGATCCCAGTGACTAAGTGATATGAAAACCAGTTTTCGTTGACTCTCATCTTTTTCAAACTTGCATAGTATATATTCCTTGCTAACAACTTTTGTACGTACCTAGTCTTAGTTTTAGTTTTATAGAGTACCTGGATTCTTCCAGTACAAGGAAGGATCTCTGGTAAAAATCATGGCAAACACTATAGCTATAAGTAGCTATAAGTAGCTATAAGAAAAAAAAAAAACACCTATAAACAGCTATAAGAAAATCAAAGTTTTATTGTATAGCAATATTACTACTACATCATTGTGCATGTATTATTTGAAAATAAAAGCATACCATGATCGCATGCATGAATGTTAATTGGCTTTGTTCCCTACATCGGTGCTGAAATACCATTTTAGCTTCTGTGATGTAAAGCAATTAAGCATCCACTTGTTTAATACCTATCAGTATCTGTCTGTTTTCATGTATAATAATCAAAATCCAGTAATTATAATTCAGTAAGTGATTATTGCTTGGCTCTCTTTAGAGGCAGTACATCTTCATATTCTGTTGTGAATATATCATTATCTCTCTTTAACAACTTAATCAGTGTTTCTGTCCTGCTTATTTTTTTCTCTGTTAAGTGGGAATAACAATCACTAGATTAAAAAAGACTTGATTTTTAGTTAGTTTTCAGATTTTAGTGTTTTGTGTTTGGTTTTTTTAAATCAAATGAAATCAAGTGAAAATATTTCAGTCTTTCTCTTACAGTTCACATTTATTAAAATAATTTTTGTAAATACCACATTCATTATTTTTGGAGGGAATTTGCCGTATCAGTTTTATGTGGATTCTAGTTGAGTAGAACATGACAGACAATTGATTTTGAAATGTATTGGCTCTAAACACTACTGTGCTTGGGAAAGAGAATCTGAATTAAACCATCTCAAACTAAAGAGACCTCTCGTTTTCTCTTTTATAGTTTGTATTGCTATCACTTGGTAGTAACTAGCTTCCAGTGAAGTGGTTAGTTGCTTCAAAACAATTTTAAGTGCTAAATAAATTCACGTGGGAAATGTTTGTTTGACTTGAAAGTATATTCAGCGGTTGCTAGTGCATAACATATAAAAGCAATTAAATCATTTACCTTTTCCTTAATGTGAACAGTATTGATCACATTCTTCCCTTTTCTCTAGTTAAAGTACCTCGTAATTTTCGCTTGTTGGAAGAACTTGAAGAAGGGCAGAAAGGAGTAGGTGATGGTACAGTAAGCTGGGGCCTTGAAGATGATGAAGATATGACACTCACTAGATGGACAGGAATGATTATTGGGCCACCAAGGGTAAGTGTGATGAATTAAAACATTTTTCCTAAGTTTGTAGGCAATACAAAATGCAAAAAAAACCCAGTCGCTTTGCTGCAGTGTAAAGGAATTAGTTAAAATTGAATGTATGAAGTTGTAGAAACATGGTATATTCATGCTAGGATTCATCACTTCCTGGCATGTTAGTGTTTTCAGTCTAGCCTCTCCTAGTACATGTTTCTGTACCTGTCTGTATAAGCCAGTTGTGATTTGAGACTTACTACTGAGTTAGGAACATACTCAGTCTGTATTTCCACCATTACTGCATGTAAGTGTACAGTGATAGTACAGTAAACAGGGTAAATGTCTTTCCACAGTTTATCATATGTGCCTAGTAATTTGAATTCTGTAGTAAACCAGCAATGTATTTTCAACTTTCACAAGTTTTATCGAATAGTCTTTCAGTATAACACTTTATGCATTTCTGTTGCATCATGCCTAAAGACCAAGCAGTTTTTGATTACCTCTAATAAGATTATATACATATATATATAAAAATATATATATAATTTGGACCTTTTAAGTTCTGTAGAATGTCACCTAGACTGATAAAACGTGCAAGAGAAGGCATCATCTCTCGTGTCTTGAGTATCAGCCTCATCAGTTATGAATGGACACATCTTTACTTGACTTTTGTGCACACTTTCTTATGAGTTACAATATGACACAAAAGATCACTGTGTAAAGGAGAATTTTAAAATTATCCTTCAAGTAGCTCTAAGTTAGCAAATGTCTTTCACTGCTAACGTGAGGTTACTGCCTTGTGTGTCCTTCAGTGCTGCAGGGCTTATTGGAAGAACTATCCAAGACAAGAACTGAAATCAGAACTTGGTCTCAGTGAAGATAATGTCTTCCAGAGTAACAAAGTTCCAGAGTTAGATTCAGTGTGACTTCCAAAAGCAGCTTGAATTAGAGTTAGTTGCAACTTACAACACACTGTCTTGAACGTCTGCATAATTGTGCTGAGCTCCTAAGATTTGGGTGCATCTGAGAGAGAACCGGTTCAAAATATAAGTGTAGCGACAGTATGCTTTGGATACTAGCTTCTGTGGCATCACAACGTTTGAATACATTTTGAAGAAAGTTTGTAGTCTTACGGGTTTTGAAAAGAACTTGCGAATGTGAGCTAACTCCCTGACTCTCCAAACAGCCTCCAGAACTGCCTGTGACAGGTTTCTGGTTCAATCTAAAGTAGATGCCTGACACATCTTTGAAGGGAGTGGTTATTATATGGGAGCCCATATGTTTTAAAAAATAATAAAAAAACCAAACCAAAACAACCTGGCGTGCACTTTTCATTCTGGTCAATTTATATTGCTGTAATTTTATTTTCTTTATGAAGAGTGCATACAAGTAGTATTTTGGGCCATTTCATGGCCATGCAGTCTTACTGATAGAATGACTTGCAGCATGTGGTGATTGTAGAAAGTGAAAGTCACCAGCTCCCCAGCCAGTAATAGCATCTTGAGAAGAATTACATATCCAGTTTCAGGATTTGTAGAAGATAGGTGTTTTTGGAACTGACTGAGTTACATAGACAGTGCGCAGTTAGACAGAAGACAGAAAGTTACTAATACTGTCCACAGCATCAAGTTCTTCACATACGCAGCTTTTCTAGAGCTGTGCAAAAATTGCTTATCAGGGTTTTTTTTTTCTTGCTTCATTTGAAAGGTAAACCAACATGGAGGGAGGAGGGGAAGACTTGCTTTGGATTAAAGGAGACATTTTTCTGACTCCCCCAAAAAAAGGCATTTTAGGTTTTTGGGGAGCTGACCAGGGATGTTTGACTTGCAGTAAAACAGCCACTTGAAAAACCGAGCAAAATTGAGAAACCACCTGGATAGGAATAAAGAAATGAGAATGAGTGCCGTTCGTAGGATTTTTCAGAATTTTGATCAGTGTATATACATTTTGGCATATTTGCACTGTAGCTGACAGTATGCCTCTCTGGGGAAACAAATGGTTTTATCTGGGTGAATAATGAGAATTTTTGTTACTGTGTTTTCTTGCTGTGGTAGCAGCTATGCTACCTGTAGCAGGACAGGATTACTTTTATTAGGCCTTTAGCTTTTAATGGGAAAGAAGAATAGGAAACCTTTTTTCTAACAAAGAATGTCCTGCTTCCCTTTGTTTCTTTCTGACCCACTTGCTGCTCAGTCTCTGTAGCTTCTCAAAATAATAGGACACAGTTAGGGTGCCTCAGTAGTCTGATTTCCACTCTGCCTTTTAAGTGACCGCGGAGTGGACTGTCATTTGACATCTTGACTGTGTGGTTGATACTTCTACTTGGAGAGAATGACAGCTGGCTGATGCAGAGTAGCTTAAAGATGGTACTTCTGGAAAGTTCAGAGGCATGTTACTGCTTTTGGTTCATGCTAGCTGTGTCTGTTGTGCCAGTGGAAAGACAAACGTAGAAACTGGGTTTATCTTCCTTTTGGAGCACAGACTTATGTACATCGGTGACCAGCAAAGCCACTGATGCTTTTTATTGTGCATGGCCTACTTGACAAGATTAAAAAAGATAGAACCGTATTCATTTCTAATTGGACTTTCTCAAAATGTATTTGCACTTAGAATGATCTGTTCCATGGTCACTTTGCAACGATGTCTTCTGCAAACTAGCTGTCACTTTACTGTCCGAAATTCATAAATCCTCTAGTAAACCAAGCAATCCTCAGCTACGGAAGTCTTACATATCTTCTGGAGTGTTAATTACTTTGAGAATATGTTTTTCACAAATACTGTTTTCATCTTGTTCTTGGTTGTGTCTTAACTGTTGGGTTATTGGCATCTTTGTCTTTCTCCAGTTCCAATTTTTTTTGTAGTGTTAGATTTTTTTTATTTTTTTTTTTACGAGGGAAGACAGTAATTTTCCTAAAGATTATTCATTTTTCTCTTAGCCCTCTACTGTGCCAAAGTTGTTTTGTGAATGCAGATGGGTAGGGAAGGATAGGAGTAAATACGAATTAAAAAAATAATTGTATTCTGTTAAAATTTTTGTATGGAATAATCAGTAGGTTGTGTAACTTACACATATTCATCAAGTAATCAATATAACAAAGTGGAATATCAATCAGTAATCCAAGACCATAAATTGGTATAAAATATTAACAGATTTGTAATTATTTCATATTTCTTAATCTTTATTCCTCTTGCCTTTTAAAAAAATTTTATTAATACTAACTTTCAGTAAAATGCATTAGTCTGTCTTTTTGCTTTCTAGACAAACTATGAAAACAGAATATACAGTCTGAAAGTAGAGTGTGGACCTAAATATCCAGAAGCACCTCCTACAGTTAGATTTGTAACTAAAATTAATATGAATGGAATAAATAATTCCAATGGAATGGTAAGTTGAAATGGTAAGATCAACCATGTTGTTAATCCCTACTATAAATTATTTCTGTGAAAAACCCAGGTGAGGAATATGCATGTTGGACAGAGCTTTCATGTTTAAATTTTACAATATAAGTACTTTGTTTAAATCAAATTTTGGTTGCCTACTACTTCAAATCTTTAGGTATTTACAATATGTTAGCGGTTCTTAGTGGCTTATCAATGAGATGAGCATTATTTATAGTATTGAACCAGTTATTTCTTTTAAATGAAGCTGAAAATTTAGTTTTGAACAGAAAAAAGTGTTTAAGCCGTGTGTAGGTGTTTCCCTTGTAATACTCTTATAAAAGGGGATTAGATTAATACTGTAACAGAGGTATTACAAACTTTATCTGATGTTTCCATTAATTTAAAATGGAGGTTATTCCTGATGAGTGTCACTCTGGATGTAGTAAATCACCTGTGATGAATTGATGTATTTAAACTCTTATTTTCTTTATACTGGGTTTGTTCAAATCCAAGACTAAGCTTCAGTCTTAAGATCTTTTGATATAGATAATAATCACTTTTATTGCAAGTTGATATTTAAAATGAGTTACTTCCACTGATCCTGCATTTAAGGTGGGATCAGAGCACATACATGATCAATGGCAGCAGCTCAAGCAAGTTTGTTACTCTATTATTCACTAGGTACTTTAGTCCTGTGAGTAAGTCTGAGGCACCCCATTGCTCAGTGGAAAGAGGTGTGAGTTGTCTTGCATTTGCAGTGGTATATGCATATATCAGTAGGAAATATAATAATATATCGCACTTGTCTGTGTGTATGTTTTGTCTTTAGTAAATGCAAAGTAATTGGGTTAAGGTAATAATTAAAGGTGAGTCAGAGAGCATCTTTGGATTTTAAATAATTTGCAAGATTTAAAAGAAGGATGGACTTGCATTTGAGTAATTAACAGTATTGAAATGTGAAGCTTAAGAATCTCAATGACTGTAGCAGGAGAGGTTCTCAGGGGTTTGTTTGAACTGTTGTAGGTGGTAGGCTAGTGTACTACTTGGTCATCCAAAACCAGTGCACTAACACTTCAGAAATAATGTAAAATTAATTTTAAAGTGCTTCTTGTGTAGCCAACAATTTTCCTTTGCCTGAAGATCTTATTAAAATTGCTATTTACAAGCCAGCAGTTACCCTTCATCACAACTGTGGCTTGTTGCCTAAGTATATGTGTTTATTAAGAGGTTGTGACTAGCAAAAGCTCCAATCTGGAATGCAGCGGAGCTTTTGGTATGTTTATAATACTATTTTCATACTTCTCCCTAGTAACGTGTGTTATTCTGAATCAGTAAAGAAGTATGCTCTCGTTGCTTCATCTTGTGCGTGCCTGAGAACATAGGTATTGGTTTCTAGAAGCAGAATCTCAGACCTGCAGACCCTGAAGGCTCATGTTTACTGAGCCAGTCAGCTTGAGCTTTTGTTTGGAGAAGCCTACACTCCCTCAGCTTGCTCAGGACCAAGGTGAATAGTGGGACAGGAAATCCGCCTGGTCGTTTTAAAAGCACTGTTAAAATCCAGTCATCGCTACAGGAAAACTTTGTTTTAATACATTTATAAGCCTATACAAAGCTTTCATTCAATTTTTCCCCAACAGTTCTGTAAACTAGTGTATCTTATGCATTTGCATAGCAAATCCTGCATAACTTATTTTTTAAATGGATTTAAATAGGACTAGATAGTATTTTAAATGAAAACAGTTTTCATAACAAATGAATGTAAAACATATTTGTTATGTAATTTTTAATGTACACTTTGTCCTGGTATCTTGCATTTTAGCTTATTTTGCCATTGTGCTCACTAGAGTTGTGCTCACTAGAATCTGTCAGATAAACTGGGGGCACGTTCAGCATCCTGGAACAGTTCGCATTGCTGCTTCCTGGTTTAGTTCCTTGTTTCTTCCAAGCTGCTCTCCCACTTTCTGATCATATTTCATTTAGTAGATCATAAATGGTTTGCTGCATTCTTGGAGTGACAAGGTTTCATCTGCAGACAAGCCCTCCTATCCATGGTTCTGCATGCGCTCTGTTTTTTGACATGTGGCCAGCTTTTGATCACATTGCTTATAGGTGTCATGAAAAAGTTGGTGGCTTGTAGAAAAGAGACCCGAGATAAACAGCTACCGAAATTGTATGTCATAGCGGTATTATCATACTACTCAAAACATTTGTAACGTTATTAAGGTACACTTTACAGGAGATGCATGCCAGTTAACCTGAGGAAAAGTAGATCCCCCAGTGCGAGTTTAGAGGGTGATAATTTCTGTTGAGTTGGAGTGTAAATGGTGGAGCGGGGAGATGGATATGTGCTGGAGTTACTGGGGGTCTAAGGAAGCTAGCCTCATACTGCCTTGTTAGCAGTGGTTCTCGACTTTCTTGACTTACAAGCCCCTTTATGCTTTGCATGAGAAGTGCATGTGTGTAATGAATTTATCAATACTGACAGCTACAAGTTTATTGACTTTTTGTTTGATTATTCTGAGAGGAATTTTTCTTGCAAGTAACTTTTCCATCAGCAGCATATCTTCAGGGATCTCAGAGATGACTGTTTGATAAATTTAGTGCAGGAAAGGAGAGGGCTACTTCAGGAGTATTTTATCTCAAAAGACTAAACTTGAGTGCTCTGAGTCACCCTGTTAAATTGCCTTCCTTTTCTTGTCTGCAAGTTAGTTTTTGTGGTTTTCTGCTTTTCAAATTGCCTATGGAGCTACTGCATTTGTATACAGAATTAGGGTACTAAGTTCAGAAAAGCTAGTCTGAGTACCTTTGGAGGTCTGGACAAAATGCCTTCACATGCTAATGGCATCACTGTTGTTAAACTGTGTTTAAATGATCATTCTTAATGCTGCAGGGTCTTTTCTCTTGGAGACTGGTATCCTGTATTGATAAAACACAGGTTGCATTCTGATGTGCTGTTTATTTTCCCTTGATCTTTTGAGGATGTCTGATTTTTGTATCTGTGAGAGTGTTCTTCAGCAGTCTATCATGCAGGATTTGCAATCACTTCTGTTCATTTAGATACCATTTACAGCTGGAAATATTTGTTTCCTTTAGACTCACTTGGGACTCTGTCAGCTATAAACCTGTAAACTGTTGTCCAGTTACTGCTTTGAGTACGTTTATTGTAGACTAAGCAGTTTCCTAGTTCTTAAAGTTAAGATATTGGGAACATTATAACCACTGAATGCTTTGCAACATTGTGTAAAATTATTTGTTTTAATTTCAATTGTTTAGGAAAAAAAATGCATTATGCATATTGCTTTTCTTGCTGTTTTTTAAGGATTTACAATGGCATACTTCCAGAATGAAAAGAGTCTTCAGGTTGCAGTTTTCAGCTTCAGTAGCTTTTTTGTGACCTTGAAATTTCTCCCTCTATGTCCCAGGATGTGTACGTCAATATTACCCAATGCTTTTGTGTGATTTGAACATAGTTTGTGTCATTCTTCCAAATATCTTATCATTGTTCTTCGTAAAATGAATTTGTTGTTCACTAACTTGGAAATAAATTGTGCCACACAGAAAACAGAACCTGAGCCAAAGTCTTTACTGCTGCTAGATATTATGAAAAAAGTTGGTGACTTGCAGAAAAGAGACTTGAGATAAACAGCAATGAAAATGTCATGTTGCAGCAGTCTTTACTCAGAAAACATTCATAGAGTTGTTAAAGCAGAGTTTACAGTGTGTGTTGTTACAAATTCCCAGCCAAGAAAGAAAAGCTGGAGGCGCTTACTTTTAAGTCATGAGGTCTCATATTCCAGTACAGCCGGTGTATGTAGGATTGCATTGTTTGAACAGCGCTGATGACTGACTGCTGTGTGCTGTAATTGTGGCAGATATCCAGATTAAGAAAGCCTACAAAGGCAAAGTTGAGGATGAGCAAGGAGAAGGAAGATGGTATGAAAGCAGAATGGTCAAGCTGAAGATAGACATTCATTTGGGGAGTCCCAGAGCACCTGCCTTTCTAGTCATTTTTTGCTAATCCAGTCTTTATCTGAGCAGATAATTATATTCGTTTTCTTTCTCAAACCTACCGAAATCTAAGCCAACCTTTTTCTTCTTACAAGTGTTGGTTTACCAGTGGTCTTCTAAAACGGTTTATTATCATATGGGCTTCTACCCCCAAGTCCATGTCTTTCCTGGTTGGGAATCTTCTGTTGCAACCATTACCTGGTCCTTGATAGTCATTTACTGTGGCTCCTTTCCTCCCTGTTTTTGTCAGGGAGATTTTTTTTTGTTGTTGTTTTGACAGGTCAGTGACATGTGATGTGATCTCTCCTCAGCTACTTTAGTCCGAAGTATTGTGATTCAGGCTAACATGGAAATTTTTTAACTAGTGGTCTGCCAAAGGGCTTATACCGAAGCATTCAAGGAGTACTCTTGCATTTTGTTCCATTTTGCTAAATTGAAGAGGATGTCAGGTTAGCTGCAGAGAAGTATTAACGAATGTTAGTAAGTGTGTCTATGTGTGAGGGCTTGAAATAAGCTCTTAAACATTTGCAGCTATATGCCAAATGAACATAACATCTGAGCTTTTGTTTCTTCTGTTACCGTGGTGCTTAACCACCATGAAGTTTTTCTTCTTTCTGTAGGACCCCATGAGGAAAAATGGTGGTCTCGTGCATTTCTTGTGGCATTTTCTATATGGAGAACAATTTTGAGTAGTGTGATATTTTGACTTTTGAAATGAATTCATGTTGTTCCTAGTTTGCTGGGTCCGGCTTGTTGGATAGAAACTCTGGAGTGTCCTTTGTTTAACCTTACCTAGAAGGATTGAGGAGAAAGAGATCTCTAAGAGCTTGGTACCTCAGAACAAAGATTCAGGCTAAATGATGCCTTACTGATGAATCCCTTTTGATGGACTTTTTCTTCTTTATTAATGTTTGCAATGATTATTAAGTAATCTAACTGCCTTTTCTACTGTGGTTTGATGCTGTCTTTGGCAACCTTACTGACTTTAAGGGGTTCCTAACTCTGAACAGAACGTTATTTGTGTGTGGGGGGAAAAAAAAAAATGCTTATACTGCTGAACTGTGAATTGCATCAAGGATCCTGCTGAGGGACTTCTTTCCAAGGTGTTTTTTTTTTTTTTTTAAACTGGGTGGGAAGTAGCTCCAGGTATGTTTCAAGGTTCACCTGAACTGATAGGCAGTAGCGCTGTTAAAGGAGCAGGGGCCTAGTGAGAGGGAGCAGAAGTTTCTTGGGTTAGTACTGCTGCCCAAACCAGCACATTGTTAAACCTTGGCCTCGGTTTCGTCCTAGAAAAAAGTTTAGTCTCAGCTGGTGTTCTGAAAGCAGGCAGCCTCACTTCGAACAATCTAGAAATAAAACATCTGTGTTAACGTTCTTATTTCTGATTCCAGTGTTGTTTTTTCTTTCAGTTTGCCCTAATTAAGATGGGATAAGAAACTTCTTGATGTTTTATGCTGCCTAAATCACAGAGCAGTGGTTTCCAGCACTTTTATAGCCATGTGGGCTGCCTTTGCTACTCAGCCGATGGAATTCAGTAGTGTGCAGTAGCCCTGTTCCTGCCCATAGGCCTGCTTTGCAGTTGCACAGCTGTAGGCCCCTCTGTCATCTTAAGTCACTCCTTGCAGGGGCTGGGTGGCCAGGACTTACCTGCTGCCAAAACAATTCCCAAGCTGAATTTCAATTGCTGACTTCCCTATGGAAACCTCCCGGTTATAATATAATTGTGTAAATTGTCCCACAGGTTTTATAAACGCATAGGAGAAGTCCCATGTCCTTTCCTTTCAGTTCATATTCACATTGGTAAGTGATGTACAGTAATCTTCACAGCTCCATAAGGTGACTTACTGTAAGAAGGATGCAAAGAACTAAGAAATGTCCAAACATTATGAATTAGTTATTTCAATATTTTAAACCATTTCTTAGTATATGTAGTGACTCTTGATGTATCAGAAGCATCATGTAATATCGATGTGAAATAAATCACTAATGATACTTGTAGCAAGGGAAAAATAAGGGAAATTTTCCTTTAGAAAGGTATTCTGCGGACTCTTGTGTGCCAGGTTCTTTTAAAGAACTGAGGAAAACCCAAGTGTATATATTGACATAATGAAGGTGATTAGTTTTTTCTTTTTTGGGGGTAATATGAAACAAATCAATAACTTCTACAAGAACTTTACAACTTTTCAAAAAACTCCAGTTTCGCAGTAAACGGATTGCTGATCTCTCCCCCCACCCCCTCGCCCACTTTCCTTCTCACTAAGATTAGTAACAGCGCAGATGGAAGAGTCCACCTGCATGGATTTTATTGCAGAATCTGTGTCTGTGTGTAAGTATATAATTATTTTCCTTAAAATATTATATGAACACAGGGACTTTATGCCACAGAGAAAGTGTCAGGGAATGCTTAGACCCTTTCTTAGAACAATTAGGCCAATTGCAGTTATTTATGTAGAGATTTTGTATTTCATTATAACTTACAACTCTGTCTTCTTTTTCCAGGTGGATGCACGGAGCATACCAGTGTTAGCAAAATGGCAAAATTCTTATAGCATTAAAGTTGTACTTCAAGAGCTAAGACGTCTAATGATGTCCAAAGAAAATATGAAGCTTCCACAACCTCCAGAGGGACAAACTTACAACAATTAATTTTAGCTGATTCTCAAACTTCTGTCTTAAAACAACAACCTTCTACTCATGTTAATGTCTTGATTAAATCTCACAATGCAAACACCCACACATTAAAAGAATTTCAGCTGGTATACATGACCTGGACATTTGTAAGAATATATATAATATATGTATGCCCAATATGTTTTCAGGCACTATGGGAGAAAAAGGCAGCACAATTATTTTTTTTCTCTTATCAAGGCACTGTCATTTAAGCATAAGCCTGAAATAGCCTAAAATTGGAATTCAGGTTTTACAAGATGAAAGCATGACAGGAAGTGTCAGATTGCTGTGGAATAATATATGTTTCTGAAAATAATCTCTTGAAGGCAAAATATAAATGGCATGCTTTATCCATCTTGCTTAGTAAAAGAGCTGCAGTTAAATTTGTTTTGAAGTAGCAGGTACAGTGAATACCGTTGCTCATCTTGTTTAATTTTGCAAGGGTGTGGGTGCCGACTACTAGTAGTGTCACAAAGTATGTTCAGGATTGTTTTGATACCTGTATTTATAAAATGGGGGGATTAATTTCTGTTAAGCAGCTCCTGTGTGTTACATGTATCGGACATGGCAAATATTTGTTTACAGTCTTTGTTCTAATAAACCATGCATTTAAGTTTTAGTGAAACAAAGGAAATGTATGGATATGTGATTGAGATTAAAGTTAGTCTTAAAATGTAAATAAAATGTGGAAAGTGTCTGAGGCTGTGCCATTTCTATAATAGTGATGTAATAATATATGTACAGTAACTTGCAGAAGTAGTGGAAAGCCAAACATAATATTGCTGCTGGTTTTACATGCACCTTTTATTTTTACCACTCTTGTATGCTTAGTTTACTTGAGAGGTCAAGGTATTCTGTTTGTTGCAGGGGAGTAAGTTCTGTCATCTGTAGTACCACTTCTTTAGACAAGCTTGCACTGTGTGTATATATATATATATATTTAAAAAAACCCAACAAAACAAACACCAAAACCAACCTGAAAATAAAAACAAAAACCCCTTGCCTACCTACTTCCCCTTCACCTCCTCTCCAGATTCTTTTGAGAAATGAGCATAACTTTCACTTTGCTTACTTCACCTCTGAGCATTTTTCAGACCACATTGCTGAAGTCTGTCCTACTTCTCAGTCCTTTGTCTTGCTTTTGCAGTTACTGCCTTGATTCTTGCTTTCTTGCATCTTTTCCTCTTTTATGTTTCTTGCCTTTTTTTTTTCTTGTCTGTTCCACTTTTGCCTTTTCTGAAACACACAAAAAAGAAACTTCAGGAAGCTTTAATAAAAATTTTACCTGTGATACAGTTCATGATGTTTCCATCTGTGTTCCATGTGTCATATGCTGTGAGACCACTGTATGTGTAGCTAGAATGCTTTCTACCTCTCCTGCAGTTGTTGGTCTGTTTTTTCAATGTATTCTGTCTGGTGGGAACACTGGGTTTGGTTCTGTTACTGATTTCTCATCAGAAAGTAGTTAATGCTATCCTTTTGGAAATTATACCTCCTTTCCCT